GTTGCTTATTACATTACACCTTTTTGCTCACACAGCTAATATGGCAGAGGATTCTCGATATAATGTATTTCCTAGTAAATGCTTCAGTTTTAACTGCTGGTTGGCTTTAAGCTATCAAATCTAGGGACTCTTGTAATCAAATGGGACATAACTCCTTAAAAATTTCTTTATATCCTAGTAGACATTCTAGTTTCAGACCAGTTGATTTAGGCTGCCAAATCTAGGGACATAAATGCCAAGCAGGATACAACTCTTTACATAAACTGTTGAGGTGAAGAAACCATGTTGCACAAGAGTAGTATTGATATAGTGCTCTCTTTTAAAGCTTCTTTATTCACTAGCCAGCAGGAAAGGAAAGTATTATATGGGTTTGTTAAGATGGAATATAGCCTAATCTGTATATCCAAATAAATGAATGTTTTTGATAATTGATAAGAGTTGATTAAGATGAAGTAGAGTCCAGTCTGTATATTCAAATATGTGGTAATACTTTACATTAGATGATTATTATAATACTAACTGAATTATTATCATATTATTACACCTTAATGGAAAGATTACAATTTCAATGCTCACTGGATTAGCATATGAAATGGCTCTTATAAGAAACAATACATAATTGGTTATAGTGCCAAATACTATATTAATCTATTCAATTACCTTCATATAATATTGAACTGGTATCTTGTGATCTGACCTGCAGAGCACTAACCACTATGCTATAGACTCACAGGTCTCTTTTTTAAATTTAACAAACACTTTGCTCTTGTTTTTTATTACTCTAATATTAAAATTGTATATAATACTTTCTCTTATAGTATTTACTTCAAACTTTTTGGAAAGAGTTGTATACTTACAGAAACCACATTTTATCTAAACCCATATCTTTTTGATTCAAAAACATTTTCAGCTCATATAATACAATTACTGGTAATACTTTACCTCTTTCAAACTGCAGATTACAATTCTGGATATATATTAACAATTCTAATAACCTTAACCTAATTAAAGTTATATAATTATCCAATAAATCATATTAGGATATTATCATATTCTCATAAACTTAAAACAAATTAAAAAATATTAATGTGACCCACAATCTTGCTCCAAATTATTCAATATTAACTTATTCAAATCTACCTGATCAACTAAAAGAAATGGCATCCACTTTCTCTTCAATAATACACAAGAATTAATTGACTTTCTTATCCATATATCTCTCAATACTTCAATACTACTTATATCTCTTCAATCTTTTCTTTTACAGTTCAACAATTATAAACTATACTTCTAAACAATAATATTACTATTATTTATAACTTACTATTGTGTCTTACTTATAATATTAACTAAATCCTTTATCCTTTTTTTGGTCTATTCTTATCTCACTTATTTAAACTATCTACACTTTTTATCAATAACATGTTATTTCTTTTCTAAACTTAACATCCACCTCTCTGAATATATCAAGTATCAAATCAAACATTCATATAGACAATTTATTATAATAATTAATGAACAAACAAAAATTAAACATATAACCCTTATCTGAATTTTTGGATAAAAACCTATTTTCTATTCTGTTATCTCAAGGATTACTAATACCAATTCCAATAATATATTCTTTAAAACATGATACAGTATATTGCTACTTTATTAATTATAATTATGTAACAAGCATTACTTACTAGATCAAATTCACAATTAATTATATTAATTTCAACTAGGGCTCCTAATGGTACCACTTTGATACCAGTTTGATACTTAATTTTACTATAAATTCATATGAGTGGATCACAACCCATATATTAAATTTACTATAGATCGGTACCATTTCAATACCATTTTGATACTGGTTCAGTACTTTTCAGAGTCCTAATTTCCACTTTTTTCTTAGCAAATTTGCAACCTACAAACTATTAATCCTAAATAAATTAAAACTAATTATTAAATTTAACAAAAAATTTAAAAAAATTAATAATCTCGACTACAAGTCACTAGTTGCTTTCAGAATAAAAATTTTTTCAAACCAGTTTTTTATCAGAACCAAGCTTCATAAAAGATATCTTTAACTCTATACTAATAACATTTGTTTACTATATAATATATATCCTAAGAATCTTGAACATATTTTTTTCCTGTATTTACAGCTTAATTACAATAAAGAAAAAAAATCCAAGCTTGACATTATCATTATTTTCAATATTTCAAAAGAAATGCTAATCTCAATCTATGCCAACTACCTCTATACTATAAATTTGACTAACATTTTAATAATGAATTTGTCTCTGAAAAAATTTATAACTCTCTTGACATCCTTTAATAAAAAAATAAAATCTCAAATTATTCTCTCAAAATTCTTTATAAAATCTGGAAGCAATATTCAGCAACTGCTACAATATCAATATTATTAGGAATTAAATAAAAAAAAATCAAAGATATTAGCTCTACTATTATCAATCAATCATCTTCAAGTAGTTTTTAAAAAGTTCTCAATATTTTAGAACTCTCAGACAATTTAACAACAAAAAATATTTATTTCAGCAATAGTTTTATTATTTTGAATAGGAATTAACCATTCAACATTTTTAGTATATAAACACCTACTTGGTGGCAATGCGTATTAAAGGTAAAAGTTGTAATAGGCTATAATTAACTTGCTTACTTTGTATATAAAGATTATTAATATAAGAACTATAAACTAAAGTTTAATTAACATCTTGCATTTAATGCTTGTTTGTGATAAAAAAAAATTTTTTTTGTAATAAAAAGTCATTTAAAAAAATACAATCAAGATACAGTAATACAATATAATATATAATAAGTTATGTAAGCATATTAAAAACCAAAATAATGATATATGGAGATAGTTTAATTACAATTTTAAAAATTTATTTAATTTATATTAATATATTTATTATATATACTTGAAAATATTAAAGACTTAAATATTTCTTGCTCAAAATATTTTTTCAGGCAAAATCAAATTTATATAATGATGTTTAAAAAATATTTGACAAATTTGTTATTTTTTAAAAAACACATATTTTGTAGATAAAAAGCTTATATTTTTTAATCTTTATTTCATTATTTTTATATTTTAATCTGTTGTATAAAAAAATAATCAATACAACAAATACAGTAATGTATCAATTTTTTGTGTGCATATATTGAATGGAACTCTTCCTATAAGACAACTACTACATAAGAGATATCCAGATATACAGTGTGTTGCAAAAAAATCTACAAAATTTTTTATTATAATTGAAATTTTTACAATTATTAATAAATATTTATTTAAAAAAATTTTAAAATTTATATTTTAAAGGATATAAATTTAATAAAAAATTTGTAAACTTATTAATCTGTTCTTTTATTTTACTTTTTAAAATCTTTTATTCAAAAAACAAAAACTATATAAAAATAAATAGATATTACTTTGTAAATATTGTTAATGGTTTAATTATCCAAAGTCAAATCGTACACATTGGAAATTATGGTCCAGAGAGCAGAAAGGTATCCAAGGTTTCAAAAAAGGTTCTGATGCCGTCGTCATAAAGTTAATAAAATATAAAATATTTGGCCAGCGCACGGTCGCCTACGACGGGCAGCTTTCATATTCTTTTAATGATGTTACGGACTGCAGAAGGGTCATAGAACTCATGGTAATTATCATTACGTACAGTGTATATTCCGATGACTTTTGCTCTACATTTTAATCAATATCTATTGGTCGCAGGGGGACCAACGAACGACTCGGGTAGCCCAAAAACCTATAAGGTGGTAGTGAAATTTTCCAGCGACATTTTGCTCAGAAAAATGGTCGAATATTTAAAAGTCGAAACCAGCCAACTTTGGGATGGGAAAATGCAAAATATTATAGCATTATAGGACATAGTTACAGTATCCCATGCTCCCCTGCGTGGTCTTAAAAAAATCTAGGTTCGAAGAATACTTACCGATAACGATGTTCAATTATTTCGGTTGAGTCCTTTGTTACAATGATTCAATTCACTTAATCAGATGTGTTGTTGCTGATGTCGTAAGGTTTCCTAGGTCAGAAATATCGTACCAACTATCTTTCAGAGTTACATCGAAAGGATGTGATTGAAAAAATGGAAATCAATCCAAAGGATCGTTCGAACGAATTCAATACGAAATTAATAATGTATATAAACATCAGAATAACGAAATCATAAAATCTATTGGAGTGGAAACGAACAATCAATTTATGCTGAAATGCAATTATTCTTGCAACTTTTCACAATATTTCCGATTTTTATAAATTATTTTTCTTCAGCGCGCGTGCTGAAGACATCGCAGTTAATTACCTACGAAAACAAGGAAATTACTCCGAATGGTGGTAATTGGAAAGTTAAAATTTGTCAAGGTAGGCTTGTTATCCGAGGATGAAAAAAAAATATTTTTTTTATGCTGCGACACAAAATGTGCTCTTTTATCTTCACCTCGGGGATCCGTACTCGTGAATTTGTCTGTAGTGTCATTCGAAGATTCCTGATTTTCAAAAGAACAAGAAATAATAAATACTCTAAATTATTGATTGAGGAATTGACGCAAAAGGAAATTGTAGGTTATTTCAGGTTCTGCGAATTTTAATGAAACGTTCTTGTTCGTGTTCATTTAATTATTTACAGAATGTACCTAAAGTTCCAAAGATTTCATTTGTAAATCAACAAAGCAAAGATTAGTCAAGTATGTTTAATAATTGTTATTGAAATTCCGGTTTTTTCTTGCTGATATTTTTATTAATAACTATTTTATTTACGGCAGTCACCTTTGGTTAGTGTCAAATCTAATCGGAAATTGTCTTGATTGATAATATGCATTGTTCCTCTTAAATTATTCTTCCAATAATGGATTATATAAAAATGTTGTGCTGTCGAATTGGAAGTATTATCTCAATGCATCGTTAGTTCGTATATGAAAGGAAGCCAAGTAAAGTGGAGACTAATCTTTACAAGCATTTGTCCTCAAGATTAATGGAAAACTGGGTGGGACGAATTACACGTTAGCGCGACGTGAGATCAGTTTCATTGAAAGGTATTTAATAAGATCGTGCAATTGGATTAGTTAATTTTGCTGATCTCAACGTAGGTTGTCCGAGTGTTGCCGCAGTGTGTGCCTCGATAAATCCCGAGGCCACTAAATATTTTTCCCGTTACAGTATAAACATAGAATTAGCAAATGATATTATCGAAAAGATTTGCAGGATGGTTTTGGAGTTGATGGTGCAGTACAAAAAAATTAACGATGGTCTTCCCGATTAAATTGTATTCTACAGGCGATGCACTGCCGAAAGTCTTGAAAAGATTATTAGAGAGGAAGTGATGCCCGTAGAAAACGCGTTGAAAAAATTTAAATATCACAAAGCCCTCCAAAATTTACTTTTGTTACTGTATATAAATGTTATCAAGCCAGGTAATATTCCTCAATTGAAAGATGTTTTTAAAAAGGTTTATATTCTTTTTTTTTTTATCTCAAAGACTTGTTCTGGTTAACGAGAGTGACGATGACCCTCAAGAAAAAAACTGCAAACCTGGCACAGTGGTCGACATTGGAATTGTTGTGCCACAATATTTTATCTTATGTGAGTTTCTTTTTTTTGAAAAAATAACTGAAAAGATTGTAACCGCATTTCTATGACAAATACTGTAGTTTTGAAAAGTCACGTGGGCCCTTTGGGAACAGCTCGCTCTACATTTTATCATATTATCTATAATGGGAACAGTTTTAAGGCAAACGATATGTGCAATATTTTATCTGTAAAGTAAGCAAGTGACTTTCGTTTATTCATAAATACTATTGTCTCGTACTGATCAATTCATTATTTTGTAGGTGCAATCTCTCAATAAGCCATGTTACTCCGGTTCATTACGTGTGCCATATCATGAAACAAGCGAAACACTTTATCCAATACGAAGAATACCTAACACTAAGCACCAGAGGCGGGCGCAGTGGTCGTGGAGGCCGCGACACACGTGGAGGTCATTGTTGCGGTAGAGGTCACGGTCAGAATATCCCAATGAGAGTTAAAAACGGAAGAGCGCTGATAATCAAGACGCTATAAAAAACGAAATGTTCTTTGTTTATATTAAAAAATAAGCTTTAATTGATTTCCTGAATATGATCCAACGCGCTGACGAAGTCGCGCAAGGGGTATTATCACGAGGATCTTTCCTATATTAGATTTGTGTAACGATAAAGAATACTTAAGAAAATGGTTATTATTGTAGATCAGTTTAGTGTTTTCTTACCTTCGTTGTCCGATTATGTTTTAGCTCTTTTGTGTTCGCTCCTACGTCGTGTCAAAATAATTAAATAACTAGATATCTAAATAGCAAAAATAACTGACTAACGAAATATTGATGTCACATATATTTAACGCCATGGAATCTAACGTATCAAAAGGAGACCTCGAACAAATCTGTAAGGGACTTGGGATACCTACAGGGGGAGTTAAAGCTGACCTTCTCCAAAAATTAAAGGAATATTCAAAAGGAAAAGGAAAAGCCAAAGAGTCTGAAACCGTAAATAATGATAATGGGAAACATGATAATAATGATGCCAATTTAACTATATCTGACCACAATTTCGACGAAATGGATATCGACCCACAAACACAAACTTTGAGAGAGCTAGCACTAAAATCAAAAACTAAAACAAGAACCTTACCAATTATTTTAGACATAGATGAACCTACCACTTCACAGCATCATACAAATGAAACACCTCTAGAAGCTCAAAAGAGGCCACGAAAGCATAAGCTATACAAAGAAAAAAGTGATGATATAATGGAAAATAGGGTGCTATCCAAGTTTAAAAAACTAGAAAGTGCCATCCTAAATTTTAATGATAGACTAAATTCTGTAACTAATCAGGTTCATGACACTCGCCACAAAGTGGAAACTGATAAAACGTGGCCAGTACACAAATTTGAAAAGAACCGCGATTAACATGAATACGATTCTTTATGTATAATTGGAAAGGAACTCGATCTTGTGTCAAAATCTAGAGATCTAGACGAAGTCATAATCCATATTGATCGTGCTCGAAAAGAAACAGAAAATAGTATATTTACTATATGCGTTGCTGAAGGATATGGCTGGGATATTGCATCTGCCTTACCTAATACCCAAGACGAATGGATGAAAGGGAAAATGAGTTGATCGAGAAAGCGAAAACACTAGTGGATATCAAAAAGAATAAACGGATAAAAACCTACGAATTTAATAAATCACTGACATATCCTTACGCTAAGCATAGCTCCCAAAACAACTACCAAAATACTTACCTGCACAGCGATCAAAACAACTACCAAAATTCCAACAAATTTCTTCGTCCCTATAATCAACTCCCAAACTGTTCTACAAAGAACTCAGGTAGATGTTACATCTGCGAAGGTTATAGATACTTTGCCTATTACTGCCCTTCAGATTCAAACAGAAACCCCGAATATCATTAAGATTACCATCCCAACTATCGATCAAGAGGCTATGACACCTATAAGAATAAATATAGCCAAACCCAAGATGATGCAAAGCGCGATTGACTACACTCGGGCCCTGCAACACCTATCTGTAACAGGACGACTACATATAAAGGAACATGTTCAATACTGGAAAGAGAAAATTCACGCACCAGACTTGATCATCAATTGGCTGAGATTTGGAATTCCCTTGTTCCTGAAAAATCTACTACATCTTACAAAACAACCAGATCCACCCCAATACCCCCTGACAGATACTCAGATGCTATAGCTAAATGGCGAGATAAGAAGACTCTCAGAAGTAGGTGCAATAGTACTAGCGTTGAATTCGGATTACTGCCCATCTTCGTTGCTCGAAGTGAGCCCAGTTTTCCTAACCCCAAAATCCAGCCCGAAGAAATGGCGACTAGTGATCGATCTCAGGCGCCTGAATGCTACACTTCCAAAGAAGTCTTTCAGATTTGAAGGTTTGAAGACCTTCTTGCATATGGTAGGACGAAACTGGTGGGTAATCGTTCTAGACCTAAAAGAAGGATACCATCATGTAATAATGGACACAAAAGCATAAAGACTATTTGGATTCAAGATAGAGAAAAATTGGTACCATTATCGCATACTTCCGTTTGGCCTAAGTCAAGCGGTCTGGGTATTTTCAAAGATCATGCGGGCTCTGATTGGACATTGGTAGTCAAATGGTATCTTTTGCGGGAATTATGTGAACGATATTTGGATTGCATACCCATGCATAGAAACCCTTGTTCAAATTAGAGATTCAATCATACTACGGGATCTAAAAAATTGTGGATTTATCCTTGCTGAAAAAAGTCACTTGGAACCTACCCAGCAACCCAAGTTCTATGGGATGATCCTGAACACGGAAATGGGAATAGTCACAGCTCCGGACTCAAAAATAAACAATACCTTATGCTGCCTATGAAATCTTCTACTTACGACAAAAGTTACTGCTCGTTACCTATCCTCAGCCATGGGAAAACTTATAAGCCTGAGTCACGCCTTCATATACGCAAAAGTCCGATGCCTGGAGCTCTATTCACTGATCGACGTGAAATACCAAAGACCTTGGGAATGGGACAATCAAATCCATTTAACGAAACAAGTGCAAATAGACATAGATTGGGTAATAAAGAACCTGAAAGAGAAGAATAGAAAACTCGCATGGAAGCCCTCTCAGATAATACCGTTATTCGTGGATACTTCAACGACGGGATGGTAAGCAACATTGGGACAAGAGTGGACCTTCTGAAATTGGAAATATCGACACAGCTATACAGACATTGCGCAACTCAAATTAACTGCCGCCCTCCTCGGTCTGGAGTCATTCCTACAGAAAATAAAACACAGATGGATCACTGTATTCATAGACAACCGAGTTGCCCAAAAAACTGTGGAATCTGGGGGGAAACGATCCTGGCAAAAAGAAATAATGTGCGAAATTTAGAATTTTTGCAATCAACACGACATACAAATTCACGAATTCTTATGGGTTTCATTAAAACTAAATCTGGCAGATGCCTTGACAAGACACTTCGATGGGTCTGACTGGTCACTCGCCCAACACTTATTCGAAATGTTAGATTCGAAATGGGGTCCCATCACGATCGACAGGATGGCGAGCTACTAGACAAGAAAAGTCGCTCGTTTCAACAACCGCTTCTATTGTCCAAATTCGGAAGCCGTGGACTGTTTTACACAGAGCTGGACACTAGAAAACAACTATGTTTGCCCCACTAAGTATGATACACAAGGTATTCGAACATGGGATACAATCCCACACAAGAATAATTATGATCATTCCAGTATGGCCTTCAGTACCATGGTGGCCGATTCTGCTTTGACTGACCGTCGAATCAATAAACCTATCACCAGCAACCGAAAGTTTCTTACCAAGCCCGGGGGGAAATTCCTCACCGGAACCCTGGAAAAATCAACACTGGCGATTTCAGGCAGTAAAAATTCATTTTTAGATTCGCTCTTCACAAAAGCAAACGAAATTCTATTGCCTAAATCAACATACGAGAAACGACTAAACAAGCTATGGATCGAATTTGACACCTTTTGCAAAATACATAAACTGAACTCCTGCCCAACCCACCCAAACACTATACTAATGTTTCTAACGTGGTCCGATTTACTATCATGATCTATGAAACCTTGTTTTTTCTTGGCGGCAATTAGCAAATTCCACCAAAAGAAATTACTTACTGACCCTACCTTAGACCATAATGTCCAGAACCTTGCGAAGAGATTAACTAAACTAGCAGCCTCCAATAAAGAAGCTATCTGGCCACAGGACCCTTTGCCAGTAGAAGCCCTCCGAAACTATGTAGACAACCCACCTGTAGACGCCTCTCACGAAATCTGGAAACGAGACTGCACCATAATTGCTATTGGCCTTCGAACTATGTGACGACCTGCCAAGCTCTGCGCCCTATGAATAAATGATGTAAAAATAATAGATGACATTTATTGGATCAGAATAAACCGATCAAAAACTGATCAACTTGCAAAGGGAAAATTTATACCTATCGAACCCTCAGACTCGAAATATTGCCCATTAAAACTGCTCTATGAGTACCTCAGTTTAAGGAAAATAGTCAAGGATTATGATCCATTATTCGTAAATATACAAGGAAAGTGTATGACGACTGAAACGGTAAACGTGGTAGTAAAAAGAATCGCACTTCACGCGAATCTAGAAGGAAGATACTTTGGTCATAGTGTAAGAATTGGGGGTGCCACGAGCGCTATAAAAGCAGAATTAACACTATTCCAGATCATGAGCATCAAGGACTGGCTGTCACAGTTGGTAACTTTATACCTCAGATTAGTATCTACAACACTGCAAAATACTTCAAAGAGAATAGGATTCTAAGTATCTTATACTAACAAATACGATCCTCTTTTTTTCTCCCATATCATTTCTTCATGTAACAAACTGATAAAATAAAAAGTATCTGAGTGAGAATAATGACCCGACGCGCTGACAAAGTCACGCAAGGGGTATTATCACGAGGATCTTTCCTATATCAGATTCGTGTAACGAGAAAGAATACTTAAGAAAATGGTTATTATTGTAGATCAGTTTAGTGTTTTCTTACTTTTGTTGCCTGATTACGTTCCGGCTCTTTTGTGTTTGCTCCTGCCCACCACTCCTTATTACCTGATACATGATATTTATGCAGGATCCAGTTAAGTTTTTACGTACAAGCACTGTTGTGCTACACCTTTGCGTGGGCCTTAAGCATCGATGCGCTACACCTTGCATGAGCCATCACCGTATATGTGCCGCACTCTCGAGTGGGCCATCTCTAACTTTGAGATCATATGAAAAAAGTATAAGAAATGTAGTTGACACACTACACCTTGCATGAGGTCATCATATAAATGATTTGCATAAAAAATGTAGTGATGCATCGCACCTTGCATGAGGTCATCATAAACAATGTAAAAAAGATGAGCTACACCATGCGTGTGCCATCTTTACCGATACTGATTCTCTGTTTTACTTTTGTCATGTGATTGTCACGGGATACACCATCATAACGAACGAAAATGTGATATATTTTACAAAGAAAAAGACTAAAATTAAGAAATGAAAGAGTTAGAGACATGACGCAGGATAGTATAGGAAACATTACTCCCATATCGTTTCTTCATGTAACAAATCAGTAAAATAAAAAGTATCTGAGTGAGAATAATAGATTTTTTTGCGATTATGAACAATTATTCAGAATGTATGATTAATTTGTAATACAAAATCAAAATTCCTATAGTTTGTTCTTCTGTCAAACAAAAAAATTCTTTATAAAAACCGATATGTCAGAGATATTTTGGGTGGTAAAACAACTTCGAAGCTAATTATATTATATAGTATTCTATCATTGATAGCCCTTTTAAACTTATAAAAAATAGGTGAATATAAAAGAAAAATAAAATTATACTTATTGTATCATAATTAACTAATTCTACTGTTTTTCTCGCTAGTTCCATAATTATTTCTTACATATTTCAATCTTAACATATTCGTTATTCTTGAGTAATTTGCAGTCATATGACTACTATCATTCTACAACTGTTTCCAATGTCTTTATTATGAAGTGTTTGTAATAATTGTTTCAGGATTTGAACATTGACTGTAGCTGCAAGCCCATTTCCAACAAATTTTCGAAGTTGGTATACTTCATTATGTAAAGTACAAGCAATTATTGTACATATTTATGAAGCTTCTAAGGCGTTTAATTTGTCCCTAGCGCTATCTTTAAGAAAATTCTTATGTCTGTTATAGTAGTAATTCTTTTGTTATTATTATACAAGTTAATTTTAGAGTAAAAATTAAGACAACCTTCTATTTCAGATCTTCAAAAAAAATTGTATATCATTTAGATAAATTCCTGAGTATCAAAACTTCTTTTAAAGAATCTTTACAAACAATAAATCTCTTAAAGAAGTCTTGAACCAAGGTTTTAGTAATGGCTGGAATTACTTCAAATATGTCTCTTTGAACATAATCAAAATTAACAAAAAAACAAGTAGAAAGAAAAAATTGTATTTTTTGAGTACAAGCTATTAACTTAATACAACAAAACAACAATAGATTTTGAAAGTTTGAAAGTTTGAAAGCGATGAACAACTGGATTTTGAGCTTCTCCTTAATGATAATCTATATTTCTTGTTTTGAACAATTGTAATATGCATCTTGCTTCATAGAGCAACGGATTGCACTAAATACAGTATATCTCAAATTTAAATATTAATTTTATAGATACTCTTATACTATTTTCGATATAAGGAACAGAATTATAAGAAAAGATATTTAAATGGATTCGGAACAAAATACACTAGGTTATCTATTAACTTTGAAAATCTAACCCTCTAAATATTTTCAGTGATCAATTCACGTATTCTGTGTGGTTTTGTTCGTTTTTTTGGATGTGACATACGATTCCGTTTTTTTAAAATCAATTCCTCAATCAATCATTACTATTCAAGAACTAAAACTACACAACCGTTACAGATATTATAAGTGAGGTACGATTTTTTTCTTTTTTTCTTGTCGCGCAGTCGTCTTACCAATCTAACCAACCAAAATATATTCACAATACCATATATGTCGGAGATAGCAAAACTAATAAGAAAACGACCACCATCAGATGGTGAAGTTGTAAATTTCACGGTGTTCAATGTACGAACAAATTTTTTGGAAGTAAAAAAGGTAACGTAATAAGAAAAAATAAACCCCGCTTGATGCAAATTTCTTTTTTTAAAAAAAATTTCCGTGCTGTGTATTACTGTATCCACATACACATATGTAGCTCCAATTTGCTTTATCATTATTATATAATTTTATATCCAATAATGAAATCATACATCTTGGAAATTACGATCCAGAGAGTAGAAAGGTATCCAAGGTTTTCAAAAAAGGTTCTGATGTCATCTTCATAAAGTTAATAAAGGATAAAAAATTTGGCCAGCGTGCGGTCATCTACGACGGGCAGCTTCTATATTATTTGAATGATGTTACGGACTGCAGAAGGGTCAAAGAACTCACAGTAATATCTTTACGTACGGTGTATATTCAGATGACTTTTGCTCTACATTCTAATCAGTATCTATAGGTCGCAGGAAGACCAACGAACGACTCGGGTAACCCCAAAACCTATAAGGTGGTAGTGAAATTTTCCAGCGACATTTTGCTCAGACCAATGGCCGAATATGTAAAAGTCGAAACCGGCCAACTCTGGAATGGAAAAATCCAAAATATTATAGCATTATGGGACATAGCTTACAGTATCCCATGCTTCCTTAAAAAAATCTAGGTCCGAAGAATACTTACCGATCGCGATATGTTCAATTATTTCGGGTGAGTCACCAATTGGTATTTTACCGAAAATTTCGGTTCGGTATTTAAACTTAAAAATTAATACCGATATCGAAATCCTTTGTTACAATGATTAAATTCACTTCATTGGATGAGTTGTTGCTAATGTCGTAAGGCTTCCTAGGTCAGAATATCGTACCGACTATCTTTTAAAGTTACATTGAAAGGATGTGATTGAAAAAACGGAAATCAAACCAAAGGATCGTTTCGAACGAACTCAATACAATTAATAACATATATAAACATCAGAATAACTAAATAATAAAACCTATCGGAATGGAAGCGAATAATCAATTTATTGAGCTGAAATGTAATTATTCTTGCAACTTTTCACAATATTTCCGATTGTTATAAATTATTTTCTTTAGCGTGCGTGGTGAAGACATTACAGCCAATTGCCTACGAATTACTCAGAATGCTGGTAATTGGAAAGTTAAAAAATTTGTCACGGTAGGTTCTTATTATCCGAGGAAAAAAAAAATATACATCAACACAAAATATGCTCTTTCATCTTCACCTCAGGGATGCTTACTCGTGAATTTGTCTGTAGTGTCATTCGAAGATTCTAGATATCTAAAAGAACAAGAAATAGTAATACTCTAAAATTATTGATTGAGGAATTGACGCAAAAGGAAATTATAGTATTTCAGGTTTTGTGAATTTTAATGAAGTGCGTGATTGAAATGTTCTTGTTCGTGATCAGATTAGTCAAGTATGTTTAATAATTGTTATTAAAATGCCAGTTTTTTCTTGCAGATAATTTTATTATCATATTTAAATAACTATCATGTTTACAGCAGTTACTTTTGGTTAGCGTCAATAATATGGACAAATCTAATCGGAAGTATTATCTCAATGTATCTTCGGTTCGCATATAAAAGGAGTCAAGGAAAGTGGTGACTAATTTTTACAAGCATTGCCATCAATATTAACGGAAAACTAGGTGGGACGAATTACACGTTAGCGCGACGTGAGATCGGCTTCTTTGAAGGGATTCAAAGGAGAAGGCAAGTTTTTATTTAATAAGGTCGTGCGATTGAATTTAAGTTGCACAATCAATGATTTCTAATATTATTTATCCACATCTTTGTTTTCTTTCAATTTATGTTCTTTGGTGCTGATCTCCTCCATCACAGCGACGTAGATTGTCCAAGTGTCGCCGCAGTGTGTGTCTAAGGCCATTAAATATTTGTCCCGTTACAGTATAAATATATAATTAGCAAATGATATTATCGAAAAGATTCGCAGGATGGTTTAAGAGCTAATGGTGCAGTACAGGAAAATTAACGATGCACTTCCCGATCAAATTGTATTCTACAGGCGCTGCACTGCCGAAAGTCAAGTTGAAAAGATTATGAGAGAGGAAGTGATGCCCATAGAAACGCGTTGAAAAAATTTACGAATCACAAAACCTTCCAAAATTTACTTTTGTCACTGTATAGAAATGTCATAAAGCCGGTAATAGCCTACAATTGAAAGATTGTTTTTAAAAATGTGATGTTTTTAGAAAGGTTTTATATTCTTTGTTTTCAATCTCAAAGACTTGTTCCTGTTAACGAGAGTAACGCTGACCTCAAGAAAAAATTGCAAACTGGCACAGTGGTCGACACCGGAATTGTTGTACCACAATATTTTCTTTCTGAGTTTCTTTTTTTTTTTGAAAAAATAACTCAAAAGATTGTAACCACATTCCCATGACAAATACTGTAGTTTTGAAAAGTCACGCGGGCCGTTTGGACACAGCTCGCTCTACATTTTAACATGTTATCCGTAATAGGGACAGTTTTAAGGCAAATGAGATGTGCTATATTTTATCTGTGAGGTAAGCAAGTGACTCTTGTTTATCCATGAATACTATTGTCTCGTACTGATCAATTCATTATTTTGTAGGTGCAATCTCTCAATACGCCATGTTAATCCAGTTCATTACGTGCGCCATATCGCGAAACAAGTGAACATTTTATCCAGTACGAAGAATACCTAACATCAAGCACCAGAGGCGGGTGCAGTGGTCGTGAAACCGCGGAACACGTAATACAGTCAAGCTTCAAAATTGCTGCGACCTCATTGCTATCAAAATTCTAATCACCAAATTTATCAACCCTAAAATCCTCCCCTTTACAGTAAAAGAAATCATATTAATACAAGCTGCGCAAGCAATCTGGTGCTGCCTGATTTGATTCTCATACTATTTTGAAAATTCATAAATTATATTAACAGCCTTATTGGCCAAGATATTAACATCAGAATCCACTCTTTCCTCTGCCCCTATAACCACAAGAACTATGAACATTCAATTGGCCTAATAATTAAGCTTCAAAAATCAACTGTTTTTTTCCTCTTTTATATCAACATTAAACTGCTCACAATACTTATATATAAACAAAGTACTATACTAATTATTCTTTCCACTGATCCCTTTGTCAATCTAAAAAAATAGATGTTTTCAAAAATATTTTTATTTTTTGATAATAAAGTCTATACACTTTTGTGAGGTCGGTCGAAGTCCTCTCTAATAATTAAGTTTTTAAGGCTGAGGCGTAATAATTTGGTCCAAGTATCCTTCTCTTTCACTAAAAAATAAACTCAATTTCATCTGTTAGCATGCACATTCGTCTACTCAAACTATACCTAAGTTCCTGTTGTAGCAATGGGCATTCACATTGACAACTACTTTGAAACTCTTCCAAAGTCCTTTATGGTTGCAGTTTCACCTTCAAATGTCACACATTTGCATAGTAGTTATTTAAATAATTAGATGTTTAGCAATTAGATTTTTAAACAAATAGATGTTAAGTTTATTCAGACATTTTTTTTCGCTTTATATACATGCTAATTACAAAAAATTATATCAGATATATCAAATATATCAACTATTTAAACTATCGCTAATATATCTAATATATCTAATTTCTCAATTATCTGAAATAAATCAAAGAAATCAAAGAAAAAAAA